CTTCCTGTTAGTCATTTTTTTCATGGCAAGTGTTATCATTGATCTGTATTGTGTATTGACTTCACAGGCGTATCATATTAATTAGAGTAGGGTAGTATGTATGAGCTGCATCAAATCACTACTTTAAGCACCTGACAACAGAAATGGATGTGCCTTTGGCTAAATTGAAATTTAGTGTAAGTGCACAAGATGAGACAAAATAGGTTAATCGTGCTGAAAGCAAGTGTAGTATGTTCCATCAACACCATTTCTGACCTGATAATAGCTGTAATACATGTGGTTTTGACAATGGAAAGTGAGGGTTTACCATTTTTGCAGCATTGCAACATGTAGCTCACATTACTCCTCCTGTGTAGTTTCAGAGTGGGTTAACTGTGATAAATATCAGAAGTTCAAAAGTTGAAAAGCGGTTACTGACATTTTTGTTTTGACATTATCAGTAATGTTTCACTCAGACACACAGTCCTCACTAACTGCTACCCTGACAGAGGCTAATATCTGTGTCTTTCGCTGCCCATGTCCCCTCTGCAGCAACCTGAAGAAGTGTGAGGAGAGTGTGATTCGAGTGCAGGGTGAGCTGGAGGAGAACGAGAAGTCGATGGCTGAGCTCACAGAACAGCTCAAGAAACTGGAAGATGAGGCTGGGGAGGTCATGAAGGCCTGTCAGGAGGCTGAGGTTAGCACTCTTTATTCACTTTGTGCTCATTGTTTTGTTTTTTCTTTACAGATTTTCACAGAACATTTCCAGATATATTATGTCAAATATATCCAAAAGTAGTTTACTGTTCCAAGACGACATTCTTGACAGCAGTTTATTATAAATCTGGTCTTCTTGCAATGCAGATAGCAAGGACTGCATCTTGTAATTTGAAAACTAAAGAGAACAATTGCTGATTACTCCCAAAGGAAAATACAATAAACTGTTATGAGTTTAGTTACTCTTTTTAATTAAAGTGTTTCAAAGGTGCTGCTGTATTACAGCCTGTCAAAACATTTTAAGTATGCAAGTGATTTACTATTGTATATCTGTGGGGATAATTCGTAATTATGAACCATTTCTAGGTTTAGTAACTTTTTATTAAATTTTTTTTGCTTTAGCTTTGTAAAATCTCAACATCTAAATTTATTGTAAGTAAATTCTTAAATAAGTTCCGCTGTTTTTGTCTTGTCCTTTAGGCTGCACTTCCTGAGGTGCAGGAGCAGTATCAGGGGGTGTTGAAGGAGATAAAGTTGCTACAGCAGCAGGAGCACGCACTGCAGGAGGAGTCCCTCAGTGTCCGGCTCCGCATTGAGCAGATAGAAACCACCATCACTGAGCACAACAACAAGATCAAACACTGGCAGAAAGAGGTGGGTGAGGAACGGCGTGTGTGCGTGCGAGTGTGAATTCAAGTACAACTTGGGTTTTATTTTTGGAACTGATTTTAGGAGCTTTTGGTAATGATAACATTATACTTACCAAAGCTATTGTTGAGAACAGGGAGCTCAGCTATATTGCTGAAAACTGGATCAACAGGGTAACTGACACGGGCAATAAATGCTTCATGTATGTAATGTTTCTGTTTATGTTGTTCAGGCCACCAAGCTGTCCCTTCATACCATTGAGGACAAGCCAGCAGAGGAACTTCCCGTTCTTACTTCTGCTGAACTCGCAGAAATCTCAGAGCCCAACGTCATCATCAACAAGATCGCGGCGTTGGAGACCCAGTGTGCTCAGATGAAGCCCAACCTCGGAGCCATTGCAGAGTACAAGAAGAAGGTATGCACAAATATGACCAGGGATCCTTCTCTCTAACTTTAGCTGAGGTTTATAAGTTTTGCCATTAATCAACAGGGTACCCGCAAGGTCTTAAAAGTATTAAAAATTCTCAAAATAAGTAGTTTTCTTGACTTTTCCTAGGATTAAATAAATACTGTTAACATAAAAAATGTTTTTTGTGTGTACTGTTACAATTGACTACTTGCATGCCATCTGACTTCCTGTTTGGAGAGGGGTGGAGGCACTTAATACAACAAAATACGCATCTTTTTAATTTTATTTTATTATAGTGAACACACACCTCACAAAGCTATTGTGTGTTTAAAAATCTATGCGAGTATTATTATAATAAAATATTTTATTAAATTCAACAAGGCTACTTGGTAAATCTAGGGCTTAAAGGGGCTTTGCCAGTATGGCCGCAAAGTTGGCTTTAAAGTGTTTTGGAGAACCCTGATCAGTCATACACTGGATGCATTTCTTCAGTTTACAGCAAATAAACATAAGAGGCGCATTTCCTAGTTAAGTTTTAGAGTTTTCAACTAAAAAAAAAAAAAGTAAAGGGAGCCATGCTGAGAGGGTAATTATGAAACTATTTTGAAGTTATTAAAAAGGAAACTTACTCAAGCAACGATTTCAACATGTGTCACTGCGTTCTCAGGAGGAGCTGTACCTGCAGCGTGTAGCTCAGCTGGACGAGATCACTACAGAGAGGGACTCATTCAAACGCGGCTACGAGGACCTGCGCAAACAGCGCCTCAATGAGTTTATGACTGGTTTCAACATGATCACAAACAAGCTGAAGGAAAACTACCAGATGCTTACACTGGGTGGCGATGCAGAGTTGGAGCTCGTGGACAGTTTAGACCCTTTCTCTGAGGGCATCATGTTCAGGTGAGGAGAAAAATAGTTCAGAGACCAACGGCGCATTAGGTGGATTCTTGTTGATTCAAAACCTTGTCTAGATATAAATCATGTCCTTTTGTTTAAGCAATGGTTTTCTGTTTCTCTCTGTAGTGTGCGTCCACCAAAGAAGAGTTGGAAGAAGATCTTTAACCTGTCAGGGGGGGAAAAGACCCTCAGCTCCCTGGCACTGGTGTTTGCTCTGCACCACTACAAACCTACACCGCTCTACTTCATGGACGAGATAGATGCTGCTCTTGATTTCAAAAACGTCTCCATTGTGGCCTGTTACATTTATGTGAGTGTGGATGTGTGTATTAGGCAATAAGAGAAGCTGCATGGCGAAGTGTTCAAAATCTATCACTTTTAAGTTCAAAGTACATTTTAGTAGCAAGATGTTGTAACACGAAGTCATGAAAAGCCTAATTAGTGGCAAACACCTGCTTAAGCCAGTTTTAACTGCCGTTTCTGGTTAACGTTCTTTCTCAAACAGAGAATGGGGGTGTGGTTAATAGTCGGACGTAATACATTACCAGTGTTCATTAACGATATGCTGTGTTAACATCACTACACTGTATTAGTTTAGTATACTTCACTGTCTGGCAGTAGTAGCTATTACTTAACCATGACAGAAACTAATGTGCGAGTATCAGCTGTTATCAATCATACAGTCGATGGTCCTGTCACGCACTGCAAACGATAACTCCCACTACGTTTTATGGTGCGCTTACTTTACCGCGGGGGTGTGGTGGGTGCCTCCGCCGATGCATTGGTGAAACAGCCGTCAGTAAAATGCATGTTGCAGACTGTATATAAGACGGTGGCAGGTTAAAGTGCGACGTGTTTTCTGTCATCTGTCCTCCAACACCGGCACGCACAGATGCCATAATGAAAATGAACAGCACACTAAACCAAGAGGAGGAAAAATAAAATGACAACTTTCTGCAATAACTATGCTAGCTAACTACAACGACAAACCAACAATCAGACACAGTGAGACATACCTACTGTAAGTTCCAAGTAAATGACATGATAAATTGGTTAGCTAGCTCACAACGATGTTTATCGCTTTGATGCTCTGACTTAACGAGGCGTGACAGTTTAACGAGGCATGACAGTGCGCCTGCGTGAGCTTGGAGAATGATGTATGACTTATGGAATTACTATAGTCATATGTCACAACCCCGTTTTAACTACTAAGCAACTTTGAGCACAAAACTAAGCTATTTGGCAAACTATGTGGGTAAACAACATTTTAAGGAAGTGACTCAGAAAAATATGAAATATCATAGAAATGTCAATACACTGGAGGGGGGCTTTAATTTTAGTGTCCTGGGGAAAGATACTGAATCTGAGAGCTGCTGATGGATGTTACAGTGATCCAACTAAAGTGCATTAGGCAGTTTAAGAAGTGTGGAGCTAATCAGTGCAGTAATAACTGGCTCAGTGTTTCTGTTGTGTAACACTGGAATGATGGAGGATTTGAGAAAAATCACCTGTTTTTGGGAGCTGGACCAAAACAAAGTGCTAAGCCCTTTAACTGTTAGCCTACACTGTGTCCATTGTTGCTATAGGCGTTTGGATAAATGTTGACTTCATTCTTACAGTATATAAAACTCAATTGAGATGAATATCAATGTTTTCCCCCCTCTCCCTCATCTCTGCAGGAGCAAACAAAGAACGCTCAGTTCATAATCATCTCCCTGAGGAACAACATGTTTGAGATCGCTGATCGTCTTATTGGCATCTACAAAACTCACAACACGACCAAGAGCGTGGGAATCAACCCCAAGACAATCGTGTTTAAGGAACACGACGCTGTCACCGCTTAAACCTGAATGGAACTAAGGACTATCTTTTCTGTTTTTACTTTCCTTTTCACACACCTTTTTACATGTCTTTTTATTTTGTCCTTTACAATGAATTGCTGCTATTCTTTATAACTGTTTGAATCAATAAATGTTTTATGGTAAGAGATTCCTTAATGCAGACATACAAACATAACCTTAAAAGGTTTGAATATACTTTCGTCAAGTATAAATTTAATATTTGTCAGTCAATTATGGTGAATTCACAGTAGGCTATATTTAAATAAATAAATTTTAAATAATTATCTGAAAACGTGTTAGATCAGCACCGTCATGATTGGCTGACGTGTGAACACTGGTAATGTTCTGCTGAGGTTGCAATGGCTTGGACATCATATTTCACACTACAAAGACAACTGTAGCATTAACTGTAACTGTATCAGTTAATTGAGTTCACTGAAACACTAATTGTACTGCTTCTCACACTGGCACATGGATGGCTTTAGAAAACGATGAATACTACAAAAACAAAGCATTTAAAGAAATGTATTATGATAATTTTAAAATATAAGTGAGAAAGTTTAGAAAAATACACCATACTATATACATACCATATACTGCTGAAACATTGAGCAAAGTGCCATTTGTTCTGTCAGATGCTTGCAGTAACATAAGATCCTAGTTTGTATATGTGTACATAACTGATATCTGACAGATACTCGGGAAGTCTGGTTGAGCAAAATAACTAACATTTGTTGGATGCGCTGGTTAAACTTTTCCAAAGACTATACTCATTTAAAAATAGACTGTATGTCAGTACCATTGTAAAAAAAGAGTACTGTCCTAAGCACTTTCTATTGATCCTGGTGGTACAGTCCACTACTATAAGGCTATTAAATGAGGCGAGGTAAGGCAAGGGGGTTAAAGGCACAGCAAGGGAGCCCGTCAGCTGTGCATCACTGCAACATGACCTGTGGACTCGGGTCGGGTGAAGTCGGGTCCACTCACCAGGCTCTAAAGTTCACATACAGCAAACAGTCGTGTGTAAGGAGATACATGTATATCTGTACTCCTGTCCTGAGCTCTCTGACAAGGGGGGAAAGTAACTGAATTGCCCCACTGCATGATGGGAAAGGAAAGTCTATGAACACTTTCACTTGGATTTTAGCGAACCTTAATCTGTTTAAAAAATGTCCATTATTGTGCAAAATGGTAAACCAACAGTAATAGACCACAAAGAAACATAACGCTACAATATGTAAAAAGATTTACAGATACATAAACAGCATGCGTTTTTTAAAAGAATTCGACAGCAGTATTGTAATATTTTCTGTGCAGTTCCCAAGCATGCAAATCCTATCCCATGCTCCCCCTGGGGTGCATAGGCTCCCCAGAATCTTTAAAGTGAGGCTGAAGGGGAAAATTCACCATCTGAGTAGACATAACTTTGTCTATCTGTTTTAGTTGAATGAATATTAATGTTATATTAAATTCTATTATTATTCTTATGTAAATATTCCCTCAATCAGCCTTGAATATCTCATTACCTGAATTTTCAAGTTCAGGAAGAGTACCAGCACTGCATTGTGGTCTATTAACTCCACTGTCATCACATAAGATTTAATGTTGGTCTAAATCTAAAAAACTTGTTTCGTTGTGAAGCTGACAGCAAAATATTATGTTCCCTGTTTTGGAAAACACTTCGTGAAAACACACGTGAGACTTTCTCAGTTTCTAAATGAAAGTTGAGGGTTCCAGTTTGGTCTCTTTCAGTTGGATGTCAGAGTTTTAAATAAAGCCGCCAGCTGCTGGAAGGCCTTTTCACCCACAGAGGAGAGGTGAGCGCTCCACCTCTCTGCGGTGGCCTCCATCACTGTGTATGCTGACCCTGCCATGTCCCAGATAGTTGTGATCAGTTCACTGCTCAGACCGTGGAGTAACTGACTGAACCGAGAGAAGCTGAGTGACGCCCCTCCGACCGGGTTGATCCACAGCGCTGCCAGCAGCAGCAGCCCCAGCAGCACCAACGAAGAAGAAGGCTGCACCTGACGCCACGTGTTCTGCACCCAGCTGTCGGACCGATCCCTCACTGCTTCCACTTCCACACCAGTCTCCACGCTGCCGCATCTGGAACAGCAGCACACCTTAGGGACAGGTGCTTCCTCCAGGCTACCGATGGTCACAGCTGGCCAGTGCTGCTGGAGGTGCTCTGCTGCCCGCGGGGTGACTGAGAGGTTTATCATGGAGGGCAGAGGTGTTTTAATAAACTCCTCCACCCTCTCTCTGAACAAATGCACCTGCTCCAGGAAGACCAGCGGCGAGTCCTCCTCATCTACTGATGAACCCAAGGACACCAGGTCCAACTGTTCTTCCTGCAGGAAACGAGACTGTTATGATTAAGGCACACCAGTGGTGCTGAAACGATTAATCAAGTCAGCAGACTACGGAAAACAAATCCAAAATCAGATTGTCAGTGAATTGTTTGTCATTTATTATACAAAAATAGCTTGTTCCTGCTTCTAAATATGAGGATTTGCTGCTTTTGTCAGACAAAACAACCTGGGGCTCCACCTGTGATGGACATTTTCCATTAGATTCTAACATTTTATAGACTAAACAATCAATAACAAAAATCCTTTTTAGTTTCGACGCTATAAACCACAATATAAAACACACTGATTTTAACCACAAAATGTCCCACACCAATTTTCAAGATAAATAAAAGTCAATGCAGCATTCATGTCATTAGGGAGCTGCTGTAATTACCATATAATGGCGCTTAATAATTTAGAGGTGCCTGAAAACCAAACAAACATGGACGCCTCATGTTGGCCAAAGTCTGTCACCGAAAGTAGCAAAATCCAAATTCAGTCGATATAGTGCAAAATTTTCAGTGCACGGTATTTTTACCCTCACACAACCAACTCTGAAATCCAACGTCGTCTTGAATCATAAAGTGATGCCAAACACTCGCATAACTCCACCATTGATCCCATAAATGCAGCACAAGTGTGCACACCAGTGACTGATAGTTGTTTCATTTTAAACAGCCACATGCACCTCTCTTAAACTTGTTCTGAGATCAGTTTGATTTTGACACTTGTCTTTAGTACTACCTAATGAGCACATGTTGCACAGCTGTGGAGCGCTGAAAACATTTCCTGTGATTACCTGTCCATGCTTAAGCACGCAGTTTGTGGGAAATACTAAATGTGTGAGGGTGATGGCGTGGGCGATGACTATCTAAATCGGCCATTGGCCCCTGAAACGCACCTGCAGCTCCTTTACTCTGTGGATGAGCGGGTCGTAGGCCCGGGACACCTCCACACCAGCTTTATCCAGGGCCTCCAGGTAGGCATGTCTCTTCCTGGTCAGCACCGCCTCCAGTGTCTGAAAGAACTGAATGACCTCCTGGCGGTCCTGCCTCAGCAGACCCTCACAGTGAGACTTCTCCTGCTCCAGCTGCTCCCCGAGCTCACACACCTAACAGAGGATGAGGGGAACATGCATTATATGATTATCTTTAGTTAAAAAATGTCCATATATCAATTGCAGTGGCACAGTGTCTTTCCACATGACAATCACTGGCCATATTGACAAGATTCTCTACCTGCGCCCATCTACACTCAGAGAGTTTGGCCAACAGTAGCGATGGGGTCTGCTTTTCTCTGATGTATGCCGCCTGCAGGTCATCTATGGGATGGCCCTGGTGCTGCCCGACAGTCAGACACAGCCCGCAGATCAGTTGCCGGTCCTCGATGCAGTACATGTTCAGAGGCTGCCTGGGGTGCTCCTGACAGGAAGGGGGTCGCGGCTCGCTATCGCTCTGGTACTGAGACAGCAGATGAGCGAACAGAAATGCAAGACAGATGAGCACAAACTGAAGCAGCAAAAAGATTTCCCAAATAAAGAGGATTTCAGACTGATGGGTAGTGAAAGGGTAAATGTTTTTCGGTTGAACACAAGGGATTCTCTCCTACTTTCTCGATGATGGCCCGCAGAGATACGTTGGTGGGCAGAGCGTCTACGCCCGCTGGGGGCAGCTCCACCACGCTGCGACAGTTGGGGCATTTTAGCGGCAGGCGGAGGGGACGCCAGATGGAATAGTTGGTGGACACCTGGAGCAAGTTGTCCAAGCAGGTCTTACAGAAGGTGTGTGAGCACGGCAGGACTCGCGGGTCAGAGAACAGTGAGTAGCACACCGAGCACGTCAGGTCCTCCTCAAGGGTGTCCATGGTGGAGAAAAGAGGCCCGGCTCAGGACGGCAGGATGGATGAAAAGCTACGTGTTGCACCTGTTCAGCAGAATACATTAACTTGCTGCAAATATAAAGTGAATATAACCTGGTGACTACTGTAAGTTGATCAACAGAAATTGTATCACAATTTTGATAATCAGTTAATAGTTTCATTAATTTTACAAGCAACACTTGTGTAATGGTTTGATGCTTTCTTTTTGTCATGACAGTAAAGTGAATATATTTGGGATTTGGATTGTTGGTCAGACATAGGACATTTTGTGACATTTTCGAGATAAAATTATGAATTGAGAAAATATTGCGCGATTTAAAAAAATAATAATAATCTGTAGCTGCAGCAGCCCTAATGGGGTTAAGTCAAAAAACAATGTCCTACACTTGGGTGTGGCATTTTCATGACTGTCCTATAATGAGTATTATAAAGTCAGTGGGCATTTTATTAGGTATTTTATTAGGTACTCTGTAACAAAGTTTACTTTTGTAAAGTTTATGGTGACATCGACAGATATGTTTGAATTCAATTATATGTTAAAAAAAAAAAGCTCAAAATTGTAGGCATCATAAAAGTAGACTTTATGATAGAACAACTGTTGGATGGCATTAGACTGTATAGGTGTAGCTAATAAAGTGCCCACTGAGTGTATAATTAGTGCTTCCCCTATTAGTACCAGGAGGTTTAACTAATAGGGATTATCTCACTCAACTAAGTCTAACAAGCATGTGTGGAAGAGCAGATCTTGTACTGGAAAAACAGCCAAAAAAACGGCTCAGCTCCTATTAGAGGATCAGTTAGGGGGGGGGGGGGCGCGCCTCTCTCCTCTAGTTACAGCCAGCACGGCAGTGACAATAGGAGGCCTCATGCCAGCACCCACCCAGTCCCAACACACACATGCACAGACACACTTTGTGGTCGGGACAGGCGGCTCAGTTGTGCAACTGACCCCAAAACCTGATGCATTCATTGGAGTCAAACTGCAGCCGATCAGGCGCCCAGATTCAAACAGGTAAACGGGTGTCCAGAAGAATCCTATCAATTAAGCTCATTTAAGCCATATCCACAGCATGTATTTTTAAAACCTGACACCTTTCTTTTTTTTACTCTATATTGTGTATTGTCAAATATTCCGCGACGTTAGTTTGAAGGTAACTAGGTGACATCTCAAACAAACCGAAAATGTTGCGTCTACATATTGAATTGTCCTTTTTATATTTACTTTCAACTAACTTGGCACTCCCAACTAATAGTAACGTCACTTTAACCACAATACATTACTGTTGCCACTCTTTCAACAACCTGGTAACGTTAAACATTTGTTGACTCATTTCATCGTGTCTTCGTTTTAGTTTTGGTGACACAACGTAAACTTTTTATAAAAGATGTTCATCTTCGGTTAAAACTCACCGTCTGCTCGGAGCAAAGTGTCTGCCCAAAACAAAGCTTTCATTTCCTGTTCCTTCTCCTGCTGCCTTCAAGTGTTATCAGTAAATTCCTACTGCTGAGACCTGCAGGAGATGAAAATTTGAGAACGTATCCAACGTCCAGAATGCATTCAAATGCTAGTGTAGGAAAAATACGAAAATGTATGTAATGTTTGACGTTTTCAGATTTCACCTGATTTTATCTGCTTTTTTTCTGCAAATATATAGTTAACCTATGTAACGTCTTAAATTATTACATATTGGCGCTATGGCAGGTATGAATGTACTATGCCCGTCTATAACCGCCATTTCCGACAGGTATGAATGCAACATTTCTATTTCCCGAAGAACGCATGCGCATAAACTGTTTCCCTAGCCAATAAGGCTACGCCATTTCTTGATTTGAAAACAAGCTCAACCGTTGAGAAACGAAGGCAAACAGACTTTTTTTTTTTTTTTTTTTTAACTTATACAAGCAAATAAGCGCAAAATGATTAATCACACCACTTCTTCACAACAGACCACACACACACACAGTCTCTCAATTTGGGTTTCACTATTTATTTTCTCGAAGACAACCTACCTATCCTGTCTCCCAAAAAGATTTTTTTTGGGTAAACCACTTTTTTTTCTCTTCCATGTCATAACTTTAGATTTGAAACCACAAGTTTGCTAACAAGGAATGCTGCAAAAAATACCCCTATGTTCAACAGAAGGTGTATGAGCACAATGTGTAATCATTTACTACAGTGTTTGAAATTAACACAAAAAAATGGGTAAGGGTAAGCAAGGACACCTAGCTGGTATAAGAGGAAAGGAGTATGGGGCAAAGGGCTCCGCAAGGTACAGCAAACTTGTTCATGGGTTTATTTATTATTCAGGAGAACCCACTTAGGACAACTCCAGTCTGACATGTGGGACACCCTTTGACCTTGAGAAAAGGGACGTTAAACTCCCTCTTAGTTTAGCCGAGATACATTAGCAGATTTATTATCGCTGCTCCTGAAATAGTCATTATTTTCTCAAGTATCACTAAAAAAAAGCATAATTGGATTACTCTAGAAAGACAACAAAGATTGTGGTTGAGTGATGCATATTGTAGAGGTTGTTGGCAGGCCAAAACCTATGAAGCCGACCAACACACCTTCAGAAAGATTTCAGGCCTCACTTTGCAGTACATGTGCAAAACCATAGATTATTTAGCAAATCGGAAACTAGTGGGGGGTAAGGGAAGGGGAAACATGTAACATTTAAGCACAGTTTTACTTAAAATGAAAATTACACTGTATCCACAGCCTAAGGAAACTAAAATACCCTAAAAAAATAACTGTGCTATAAGTTTAGTACATGCAAAGGTTATGATTCACAATCCTACGTGAAATGGCCATTGTTCTCTTCTCCCTTGGTGATAAGTCATAGCTATGGCAACAATACTGCAAAGCAGTGATTTTGCTGAAGGGAAAGTAATGAAGTGCCACAAGGGGAACAGGTCATTTGGTTGTCTTGATTATAGTGATGGTGTCAGAATTTCACAGCATCAAGCCCATGTCTGGTGCGTAGGTTAGGGTTCTGGTGTGAGGGTGGAATACGATCGTCATCAATCACCTTTACAGAAGCAATGAAACTAAAAGCTGAAAATTAAAAAAAACAAAAATATCATAAAAAGGAACACACTGGAGGCAAAAACAAAAGCCCAAAAGCCACCAAATGCATCTTAATACAATGCACTGCTGCTCCACACCTGCCAATAGCATTGTCCAGTGTCAATTAATACTAACTTAAAAATAATTCAAAACAAAATAATAATCCTTGTGATGACGATGATTTTTTTTTTTTTCATATCCAACGTTCTTCCTTTCAGGGACTTGAGGATCAGCCTCTCTTTCAAAGGCAGAATTTTCTTTCCTGAAACCTTAGCTAACCTCATTGTTGCGTTTCTCAATTTTGTTTCTCTTCAGATGTTGTATTCATCTTTTTTTTATTTTATTCCCTTCCGTCTCTGCATGCGTTCTCACCCAGTCTTGCATACTCCCAGTCACGCACGCAGCCAAGCACACACAACTCATCCGTCCATTCTCTCGCACATGCGACACGCGCAGCCGGACTCCTGGCCCCGCCCACCAGGGGGAGAGGATGGCGCCCTGTTGGGGCGTTTCGTTGGAGGAGATGAACCTGGCTCCTCAGCACTGAGTCCAGACATTCATACATAATGGGTCCATTCACACACATGTCTGATAGCGTGGCCGATTGGGGGAGGGGCACATTGAGGGTGGCACCCTCTCTAGTCGGAGGACCGCAGAATTGTGATGGTTCGTGGTTCATCTCAGTTCATAATTAAAGTTATATTCATTGCTGCATTTTGTTGTATTAAGATCTCTTGATTTCTTATTTTTGGATGTCCTTGGTTCTCCCCGGGCAGACATCGTTTTTTTGGTTGTCATTTGAAGTAGTTTTCCGAAGACGACAGCTCCAATAACAGAAGTTATGTCAGCATGTCTCTCAACGCATTCGATGTAGATGTTTTTGCTTTTTTTTGCAACATGTAGCCACTCATTCTCACTCGCACCCACTCGCCATCTCAAACTTCATTTGGGCTGGTTCCCCTGGAATGCCAAATGAAATCCACACATTTTTCTCTCAGATAAGATGCAGCCATGGATCCCACGAGCCAAGCACAATGGATCAAATTTCTCACACTCTCGCTCTCTTTCGCTCTTTCTCTCCTAATTTTTTTATGTTGAACAGAGTGCTGCATCGTGAACAAAACTCCAGAATACCCCAGATGCCGTCTAGAACTGGAATCCCTCGGCTGGCACGTTGGCTGAGTTAAAGCCGTAAGTTCCACCCTGGATGGCCTCTGGGACCAGGCTGGTGTCTTCATCAATCTGAATAAAAAGACGAAGCAACAGAGCGTTAACAATGTACAGCAGACATCACAGTAGATCAAACACTGGTGGCAAATGCCACCTTTAGCTTGTGAGTTATCATTTGATCTTCAACACTTCGGCCAATAACTTAAATGTGATGGTACTTTTTAAAAAAGTAAAATACTCAAAGGTTATGTCACTAAAGCATAGCAGTACTATTAAAAGAGTTTTAAAAAAGTGAAAACCACAACTGAAAGAAAGCTTTAAACTGTAGTGACAAAATCAACTTTACTAATATCTGCATTCACATGTAACTTACATCATCAGATGAGAAGAACTGATCAATAATTTCGTATGCCAATTTGTAGATATCTTCATTTTCGTGATTCTGCAGTTGCTCCACTTTTTCCAAACCTGAGGAACAAAAACAACAAAATTATAAATTTTCACACTAATCAATCACGCATGAATACCTATTGATAACGAATACAAAACATGATAAAAACCTTGATGGTTTAAGGAGAACTTACCTCCACATTCCTCAATAAGGTTAGCAATCGTTTCAGCCTCGTCATCTGCCATCTTGAGGATATTGCTGAGACCGTCGAGAACAACCTGAACAACCTGCGCATCCTTCACTGTCAGCAGGTTGCAGAATGGGGGGATCACCTGCTTCTCAATCAGGTGTGCTACCTGTAGGCAGGCAGGGACAATGAGGAAGAGCAGTAATCTGAGACATACTAGAAAAGGACGGAATGCTTCACCAACAGAGTTTTGTCATTCTCCATTTCAAATTTACAGTTTTTGCTGATTTTATTTTCATAGCAGCATCTGAATATTTCAGCAAAATATTTAAAAGAAAGCCAATAAAAAGGTTTAACAATAGAAGTCAACTCAAGTTTTACAAATTTAATGTCTAAATTTATTAGTTTCAGAAAACTAATTTCTAAACTAATTCAACGTCGGAAAAACTATTTTTTCAACCACACTGACCACTACATGTGTTCACAATAATGCCTCATACAGTTTTTCATGATTTGCAATCCTATAATCAAAGATCAAAAATTCAGCAATAGTTTGTTTTTTTTTGCTGAAAGGGCAGCTGAAAAAGTTTAAGCCTGCAGCTGTGAAAGTACATTAGTATGTGATTTGTTTACAAGATTCTTACCTGATCTTTCCTCCCACTTATTGTCAGGTTGCTGATGGCCCAGGCTGCTTCCTTCTGAGTGCCAAAGTCACCCTAAAATAAAATATATATTCATTGTGAGCAAAACATATTTCCATATATGCTCTCCAAGAGTACTAATATATGATCCACTTGTATTTCACACAGTTTATAAAGAGCGATGGATACACACCTTGTCAAGCAGGTGAATGATCATGGGAACTAGCTTGGCATCAATGACAGCCTGCACCTGCTGCTGGTTGCCTGCTGTGATGTTGGACAGGAACCACACTGCCTCCTACAGGACAAAAAGCAAAGATCCAAGAGTAAGTGACAGTACTGTTCAGCTGGGCAGCTGAGCCATGGAGGTTTAAGTGTATACACGGGTTTTATCCAAACCAAAGACTGTATCACACCATCAGCCAGAGAGTGAAAACTTGACGGAGAAATCACCTGCTCAAAACTTTGATTAGAATGAAATATGACGGTATGAGCATATTGCTCCTTGAAGACTAAAACTTAAAAATAAGCTTGTGTGTCTGAACTGGATCAGAACCCAGAGGTCCACTCTGAGAGTTTGACCTCTGGTCGAGACTCGAGTGCTGCGGGTGGGGCAAGGGCGGTGTTGAGGCTCTAATCATCGTCCATGTCACAACAGGGGGCCTCGCTTTCAAGTGACTGGTCTCAGATGCACTCCGATATCAGCAGAGACGCATTGTCTTCAGCACCCAATAGCCACCAACCCATAGTATCACACATTCAAATCACACGCACACAGACAACCCCCCACCCCAACCCATTTGTCTCACTAACTAGCCAGCCACTGATGTCCTCTTCGTCTTCTTCATGGTTGCGATTCTCAGTGTTGTGAATTGCTACAAGTAGCTATCTGTCCCGTCTCTACCTTCCACACAGCATTCGCACTTGCACCAAGTCTCTGATTTCATCACTTCCAGACTACACATCTTGCAGTACTTTGAGATCTATGAGGGTTGTGCACACACGTAGGAGGAAGAAGAGAAGAGCAGAATGTATTACCTTGTTGATTTTCTCCTTCGGGTGTGTAAGGAGTGCAGGGAAGTGGCCGAGAGCGTCACAGTTGAGCACCACCTGGGTCTGTTCATCTGTGCCAGTCACTATGTTCCCAACGGCCCTCAGGGCAGCAGTCTGAATGTGGGGTGAGAGTGTGAAATTGTTATAATAATAATACATTTTATATATAGATTGCTTTTCCTAGATGCACGCAGCTGAAATCCAGAAGAAGTCTCACTATACATGCATTTCTGTAATGTTGTTAAATACAACTGAATACCAAAATAAGTTTTATCAATCTAATCCAAAGCAATCTCTTTATACTAGGGCTGGGGCGATTCGTCA